TATTTGATCTGTGGAAAAGATTTATAGTCAGTGAGTTTTAGAAGGTGAACTTTTTGCTCGGCTTCATGAATATACAAAAACCTTATGCTCTACTCATCTGCCTACCCGCCAGTGGCCAGATTTCTCCGGGTACTCGTGAGCCATCAATGTTTACTTGGGTTTCCAGGATCCAAGACATGGCTCGGAGCCTACAACCGCGAGAGCTTCCCCTGCCTCACTGTGGTAGCGAGGCTTCAGAGCGCAGTTGGTTGGTTTGTTTGTTGTTTAACGCCGCACCCAGCAATATTCCAGCTGTACGACGGTGGTCTGTAATCGAGTTTGGACCAGACAATCCAGTGATTAATATCATGAGCATCGATCCACACAATTGGTATCGATGACATGCACCAACCAAGTCAGCGAGTATGACTACCCGATCCCATGAGCAGCCTCTTACGACAAGTATAGTCGCCTCTTACGACAAGCATAGTCGCCTCTTACGGCAAGCATAGTCGCCTTTTACAGCAAACATAGTCGCCTTTTACGGCAGGCATAGTCGCCTTTTACGGCAAGCATAGTCGCCTTTTACGACAAGCATAGTCGCCTTTTACGACAAGCATAGTCGCCTTTTACGGCAACACACGGGTGGTACCCGTGTGGGGAATCGAACCCGGGCATTCGGCGTGACGACCCATCACAAGGCTAACCCTCAAATTTAACAACAGTTCTTTCAATTATTTTCCATTACATGAAAAAAACAAACTCGGTATACTCTCCACTGACACTCGGCTAATAGCCTAGTGGTTAAAGCGTTCGCTCGTCACGCCGAAAACCCGGGTTCGATTCCCGCCATGGGTAGAATGTGTGAAGCCCATTTCTGGTGTCCGCCGCCGTGATATTGCTGGAATATTGCTAAAAGCGGCGTAAAACCATATTCACTCACTCACTCACTCACTTTATACATATTGTTCATAATTCTTTGATATTCTTATTTCATAATCATCATTTTGATTAAAATCCATTAAAATGTTAATGCAACTCATGGTCGACCATCCACTGTATTACATCTCCATTCTGTTATGATGAATACCGCTAAAAATTACCATTTATTATTACAAAATCATTTGCGAAATTTGGAATCCAAGCCATATAACGGAGAGGGGCGTCAACATCGGCTCTATATGGTGTACCCATGTGGTGAATTGGTGTGACGAGTCAACGCTTTAACCTCGCTAGACAAACCCCGCCGCCAATGGCTTTGCCAGTTAGGATTACTTATATAAACAAATGTCAAATCAGGTAAGAAGTGTTGTATATTTCATGCAGGTGTTCACCAGAATAGTCACGTGATGTCATGGTTACGAGTTTAGCCAATCGGGGAACACTTCCGTTGCACGAGTTTTTCCTGCGCGTAATACAGACTATTGATCGAAACATACGACGCTTACTTGATCAAATGAACCGGTGCATGTGAAATTAATTTCAACAAGCTGTTTAGAATTCATTTAAAATCGAGATTACAATGGGCTTAGACCCCTATTTGTCATGTTTATATTATTCACGCGCTACTTTGAACGCCACGTTTAAAACTTTGGTATGTCATGTGCATTATGAAGACTTTTCAGCTTGATTTCCTGCCCTGCCGTATGTTTTCACTCTGGCGAGTTTTAATTATGTAAACGAATAATCGCTGTGGCTGTAACGATTCGCAGATGATTCAAATTGACACTTAGAAAAAACACGAAGAAGGCTGAAGACCCGGGCTCGATTCCCTATATAGACACAATGTGTGAAGCCCATTTCTGGTGTCCCCGACGCGATATTGCTGGAATATTGCTAGAACCATACTCACTCCTCCATGAACGTCAAATACGTGAAAGGTGCAGGCGGCCAAACTGTATATTCCATTGGAGTGAATGAATCATGGTGGTACAATAGGAGTTGTTGATGTTGGAGATGTTGCTAATGTGTGAGCATCAGATTTGTCAAGTTCAGGTGCAGTTGCCACGGGTCGATCAGATTATACAATGGATCTTAATTTGCAAGCACAACATTAGAAGAAATGAGTTGAATTGGTTGATAAATGTGCTCTCTCACAAAATACATGTTTTTGTCGATAAACTTTGACGCTGGTAGAATAGGAGTTATCGTTCTTGTTTGAAGCAGCATGGTGTTCATGCCTCTGCATTAATTCGAGGGGCACCAGTCTCCATTTGGCTTGTGCCAGAATGGCGCGAGTTGGTCACGAAGAATTCAGACATGGAGTGTGTCCGCCGTTAGCGTTAGCGTTAACTGTCACACATCATGTAACACGTGTTTCTGTATATCATATAAAAGCCTGTTATCTGTGATTCTTGTTACACTGACTGTTATAAATGAAAACCACTCTCCATTATAGTCAGGGACCCCATTTAGGAGGTTAACGCAGTGTTGAACAGTATTCCAGTCATTTCACGGCGTGTCAGCCTGAAATGATGCAGGTCGTACACTTTTAGCATTGGTAAAACAGTCAGAGCGTGGTGCTTACAAATTGGGATCTGGGGTTCGAACCCACGCTCAGGGTTTCAGGCACGAGACGTTGCAGCAAATAGTAAACAGGTGACAACATGATATAGCCGAGTTTAAAACTTTATTAAAAACAAATTTACAAATGTCATGAGGGAAAGCACCAAATAATCACACAGCCAATGTTACAATGAGTGAGTGAGTTGGGTTTAACGCACGGGTATGGTGCTGACCAACCTAGACACATAATCGGGGCGAACCGGGATTCGAACCCACAATCATAGGTTTCTGGCGTGCCCAAGGGACGCAACTCTGCACAGCGAATCGCGGCGCCTTAGACGACTGGGCCACCCGTGCCCCCATGTTACAATGAAAGGAGCATGAAAAATATATAGAAATATATACATGTTTTATCAAGGTTTTGTGGCTTTTGGTGCTTTTAGCTGTATATTAAGAATATCAGAAAATCAGACACCGTGACATGTTAACAATCGAACCTAACCCTTCAATCACTTCAACGAGGATGTCACCTCAAGGTAAAACGTTTATACTTATTGAATGTTTGGCTATAGATATGAAATATTTTTCGTCATTAATATCACTGGAATGACAAGATCAAATGTGACCCAGATCAACTTTTCGATTGACTTTTTGAATTGTTTGTACAGTTTAATTATGATTTGATATGATATCCCTGTTTGTACTTTGAAGACTGCTTGTTTAGAAGGTATCAAATGAATACATCCAGAGCAGCATGGCTCAACCACATCTGTATATATCCATTCTCACGAAAGGCCAAAAGAAAGTTTACAAATTAAGATGACAAATGCAGACAGAATTTGAATCATCGCGGCAACCTGTGTGTATCCTCAACTATAAACTTTTGAAATTTGAAACGTTTGATCTGTACTTATTTGTATTCAGATGTATATATCCAGGGCAGCATGGCTCAACTACACCTGTATATATCCATCACCCCGATAGAGACCAAAATAAATTTCATATGACGGCTTTGGAGTAAGTGGTAATAGAACAGGGAAGTAAGAATCACGTTGTACCCCAAAACAGGTGACGTTGAAAGACAATTATAACTGATCTAGGAGAAGGGACTGTATCAACTGATATCTGATGTTGTCAGCATCCTTTGTAACTATGACTATACAGATTGTCGTGTTGTAGTCTTTAGTGTGACAACCGCAGATATTGGAGCAGCATGGCTGTTGGGACACTCCACTCCTTGAGAGTTCAGAAACATCGTGGAGGAAAGAAGCTTGGTCCACACTAGTCCATTGATATTGGGGGGAAATGCCTGTTGGAGAGATAGATACATTCGTTGTATATGAACACAGATGGAAGATGGTTAAACATGCATGTGCATATCTTCATGTCTATTGTCAACAGTCGGCCTGTTCTATCATAACGTCAAGAAGTTCAGTCAGATGTAGCACCAAAACGAAACAAGGTAACAAATCATACATATTTCGCCTAAATCCAACTATTTGTGGAGAAGGTTTTAAGCCGGAGAGGTGTACAAGCACACATATCCCGCTTGGCTAGGCCTAGTGCCCTCGCAAAATAGTCTCCAAAATTGCCAAAACTTATAAAATGCCTTAGATACGTCGCAATTATCCCTGTAGGTTATTCAGATTCACGATGGTTAATTCTGACTTGATCGCCGAATGACAAGTGCGACGCCATGTTCGTTTATAAACACTGAAAGTAGTCCCTACTTGACCTTTGATATTTGCATCTATCCGCATATGACCCCAACGGATATCGTTTTTATCCGTTGGCTTTATCCTGCCGAGAAACCTACCCATTATATGATAAATTATATGATAAATAATATTATCTACTATTATCTACTCAAACCTTTAGCGGAGTCATGTCACGATTTCTCGATTACGGAAAATAGGTTTAGGAGGTAAAACGTGAATATGAAAGCATGAGAATTAAAAATAAATATAAAAATATAAAAAACCTTTTTCAAACCAATACCCGTCATCATCCAATGAAGCATGGAAAGTATAATTCTGCAGTTTCTGTGTTTTTATTTCAGAGCCGATTGTTTGACAATTTGAAATGATCCGGGTATGTTATACAAATATGGAAAGGCCACGCTGCCAAACATTTAATTAGTAATCAGCTTAACATAAAGGTTTGTTTAAACTGGTGTCCAACTAGGGTCGCAACTTCACAAGACCATATCACTGTCTGAGTAACGAAACGTATATATAATATATAACATCGCATACGTAGACGAAGTGTAAAGGTAATATGTTTGGAGACTGGTACTAACATGCTTCCATACTGTGGTGCGCAACTACAACTGGTATACAATCAATAATACAGTAAACTACGGTTATAACGAACTAAAATGAGTAGTCCCCTTGAGTTCGTTATAACCGAACTTTACTGTACATATAAACTGCAGCGACCGAGCGTTCATACACTCACCATAGATTAAGAGCGGTGACGGTTGCAGTAGACGGGTGCGGTAGACGGGTGCGGTAGGCGGATGTGGTAGACGGGTGTGGTTGGCGGGGCTGTGTACAGCTGCGTCAAGGGTGCCTGTAAACGTTGAGATTGTGATCAGATGTCATTTCTCATATACCTGAACACGAACTTAGAACTGAATTGACCAAAGGGAAAGATAGGTAGGAAGTTGTTTGGAACAGTCTGTCTATAAGTGAGTCTAATCATTTGTAACCATCAAATAAGCGCAGTTTGGAACTTACCTTATCACTTAGTTCTGTTCAACATCCATAGACGTCAGTGGTAGATACTGCCAACATCCTTCCTTACACCGCACATGATTGGGAATATTCTCAATGTATCATGAATGTCAACCGAAATATTTTGTTGAGGTGACGTTTTAACCAAATGCGTTCTCGGAAGATACATACTTCCTGTATTAAAATCTTTCACAACAATCCCCTAAAGACGTTGACCAAATACAATTACCCTAGAAAATGTTTGTGAATACAACCGAGTCATCGTTCAACTAGAAGGTGTTAGCGGGTATTTCAGGCAGAAACTGAGCCATGAGACATGAAACACCCCTCAACACCTCAGAGCTGCCGAGTCATCAGATGGTACACATGGACAACTTCAGGGACTTGTAAGTGGACGAACGTGTCAAAAGCAGGATGTTGTACCAAGTTTTAAACATACAAAACAGATCTTGATAATTCCAACATGTTAAGTTGGCATCTTTGGATCTTCCTGGTTATGTGAAGATTGATGAAATGAAATGATTCAGTAATAAGATACATGGATATAGAGTGTATCAGAGGGTGTCAATTCCTGCACATGAAGCGGTGTAATTGGCGGATGTTGGAGAGGGTAGCTGTCACCACACCTGAAGAAAAACAATATTTTGTTAATTTCAGAATTATTCAATCACTTTTTTAAACAAACATGACGATCAATTCACATACGTGTGGCATTTTTTGAAGCCGGACAAATAATGTAGGAATTACATGCACTAATATGACAACTGTATCTATATACATTAAGAATTAATTCCTACAGTATAAATGATTCCTTTACAGCTTCTGTTTTACTTACTGCATCTTAGGAGGTAACACCAGATGGCGTGAAGAAGTCGGTGACCGTTGGATTGTTGACGGTGAGGCGGCTGGAGGATGAGGTTGGTGTAAACTGAGGATGGACGGCAACTACGCCTGGCAAGGTGACAGGATGCGTTCTGGTCAGTCGGAACGACACCTAAAGTGATGAGAAGAATTTCGTTAACATATATGAAAGAGGCAATTAACAAGCACCAGGATAAGAACATGTATTATTTGCCATCAAGAATCTACTTTAGAAACTGACTTTGTTTACGGTGAGACCATGGACAGCTGGATATGTTGGCTGGTCCGGATTAGTTTGGTAAGAGAGTCTGACAAGTATGTCAGGTGATGTACCTGAGGCAGGTGGAGGTTGATGCAGGTGGCAATTGAGGCTGGTGCCAGGTGTCAGGTGGCAACTGAGGCTGGTGGCAGGTGGCAACTGAGGCTGGTGCCAGGTGGCAACCGAGGCTGGTGCCAGGTGGCAGGTGTCAGGTGGCAACTGAGGCTGGTGTCAGGTGGCAACCGAGGCTGGTGGCAGCTGAGGCTAGTGGCAGGTGGTAACCGAGGCTGGTGCCAGGTGGCAGGTGTCAGGTGGCAACCGAGGCTGGTGGCAGGTGGCAACCGAGGCTGGTGGCAGGTGGCAACCGAGGCTCGTGCCAGGTGGCAGGTGTCAGGTGGTAACTGAGGCTGGTGGGAGGTGGCAACAGAGGCTAGTGGCAGGTGGCAACTGAAGCAGGAGGAAACCAAGGCAGGTGGTAAGCAAGGCAGGTGGCAACCGAGGCTGGTGGCAGGTGGCAACAGAGGCTAGTGGCAGGTGGCAACTGAGCGGGAGGAAACCAAGGCAGGTGGTAAGCAAGGCAGGAGGCAACGGAGGCTGGTGGCGGGAGGCAACGGAGGCTGGTGCCAGGAGGCAACGGAGGCTGGTGGCAGGAGGCAAGGGAGGCTGGTGGCAGGAGGCAACAGAGGCTGGTGGCAGGTAGCAACGGAGGCTGGTGGCAGGTGGCAACAGAGGCTGGTGGCAGGTGGCAACGGAGGCTGGTGGCAGGTGGCAACGGAGGCTGGTGGCAGGTGGCAACGGAGGCTGGTGGCAGGAGGCAACGGAGGCTGGTGGCAGGTGGCAACAGAGGCTGGTGGCAGGAGGCAACAGAGGCTGGTGGCAGGTGACAACGGAGGGCTGGTGGCAGGTGGCAACGGAGGGCTGGTGGCAGGTGGCAACGGAGGCTGGTGGCAGGTGGCAACGGAGGCTGGTGGCAGGAGGCAACGGAGGCTGGTGGCGACTGAGGCTGGACACAACCTTTAGAAAATAAATTAATGTTTAAAAAATCTTATTAATCTTATTCTGGTTGACTAGTTTGTCAAACAAGCTATTCAAAGAATTCCCTGGCCACACTCGATATACATTGAGTTTTCTATTTGACAAGTATTGTATGTCAACAAATGTTATTGTGCTTGGTCTTTACACATATGCGTCAGACCTGTTCCTCTTTGACGAGGTGTATTGAATTGGAGTTTCTGGAACATCTCAGGGTGGCAGAGTCACCATTGCATGTGGAAAGGGGAGGGGGTGAATGTTGTAGAACGCCGCAGTCAGCAATGTTACAGCTAACATGTGACTGACAAGCGAACATTGGTCGATGGGATTGTAGAATGATCAACGTAAGTACAATCACACATGTGACTCGCCCTAATTGTATTCAACAACCATAAGGTACGGGGTTATCTATTCTGCCCTGGGTCACCTCGAGAGCATATAGAAGAACCCTGTTGGTGAGTGGGGGAGGTCCAAACTCGCTAAATGCAATGTCGGTTCCCAATACAGGATATTTATTATCCAAAAATATACTCGCGTGATAACCTCTATTTTTACTTATTGATATTATCTGCCCACTGCTTTAGGTGCAATCGAGTGGCGTCTGGGAGTTCTGAATGTCTTAAAGGGGAAGTGTACACGCAAAAATCACTTTCTTTTTCTAAACAAAACGCAATTTTAGAATAAGTTAGTATCTGTGTTTGAAAATATAAACTCATTTCTTTCACAGGGAAAGTAGGAAGCTCACAATAGTGTGAAAATGATATGCCGTTATGAGGCCTTCGTTTTTCGCGCTAAACAGGCCTGAGTTATCCCCCTTAGATTATGACGTAATTGGTGCCAATTCAACTTGGTCCCTGTCTATTCTGAACGCAAAAGATATCAAGTACAAGTTTTCGGTGAAACAACATGGCCTAAGACACTCCGGCGCAGTGGTGACTCAGCATAACACTATGCTGGCTGGCATCTGAGACGCTAGAATCATACACCTGTACCTACACCACATGAAGCGGCTCTAACAAAGCATGATGACGTCATAATGTTTATCAATTGGCACCAATGACGTCATATTGCAAGGGGCATAAGCCATGGTGTTTTTGTTATGGAAATAGAACACTTGGTAAATGTGAAAAATATCAATCGTTTTAATGCAAAACATATGTTAATTAATTGTGATATTTTTATATTTTTGTCTATGACACTTCTAGGTTAACACTTTTATTGTGGAAAAAGTACAAGAAAATTAGGTTCATTTCCGTGTGAACTTGCCCTTTAAGTTATTTGGAACGGCCTGTCTATAAAGTTAGGGACACATTTCAACCATCAACGCAGTTTGAAACTTACCTTGTCACTTAGTTCTGTTCAACAAACATCCATCTTGGCTGTAGACTGATACTGCCAACATCCTACCATAGCACCGCACATGATAAGGAAGAGACGTCTTCAACTCAGTGTATCAAGAAAACAAACTGAAATATTTTGTTGAGGTGACGCAACCAGTAAGATCTGACATGCTCATTTCAATGCTGGTATTAAAACCCTGACTGACGTTGTCCAAATACAAATTACCCGAGAAAATGTTTGTGAATGCGACCGAGTCATCGTTCAACTAGAAGGTGTTAGCGGGTGTTTCAGGTAGAAATGTGAGCCATGAAATATGAAACACCCCTTAACACCTCAGAGCTGCCGAGTCACCAGGAGGTACCCATGGACAACATCCGGGACTTGTAGGAGGACGATCGTGTCAAAAGCAGGACGTTGTACCAAGTTTGAAACATACAAAACAGATCCTGATAATTCCAACATGTTAAGTTGGCATCTTTGGAAAATGCCAGTTGTCAAGATTGATAGAATGTTTTGAATAGTTTATGGATAAGATATATTGATATCGAGTGTATCAGAGGTTGTCAATTCCTGCACATGAAGCGGCGTAACTGGCAGGTGTTGTAGAAGGTAACATGTCCCCACACCTGAAGAAACAATATTTCAGAATTATTCAATATTCAATAAACACACATGACGATCAGATCACTTTTGTAAGTTTTTAGTGGACGGACGAGTATCGAGAATGTATGCACTAACATAACCACTATAAAGCAGAAAATCAATCTTGTTTCAAATTGACGGGAAAAAAGTTTGCTCTAAAAGAATTGATTCCAAGAGAATAAATAATTCGTTTATAACTATAGTTTAACTTACCGCATTTAAGGATGTCACACCAGATTAACCTTGTCGCCAATGACAGCTTGTGGCCACCGAGGGTGGACATCTATCACTGCCGGATGAACGAAGCCTGGTTGTTGATTATGATGCCTGCAGTGGTAAGGAGAAACATACCATTTAAACACCAGGGCGGAAACACCTATTCATTGACCAAGATACGCACTAATCTACTAATCGACTAATCATCTCCCAATACCAATTTTACAATTTAAAGAGAGGTTGCCTCAGTGCCGAACAGTTAATCCATGTAATATATGTCGATGTATTTTCATAGAGAACAGAACAGTTTGATGTTGGAGGAAAGCCAGAATTGATGCAGGTCTCAGAATTCACAACTTTGGGCAGAGTCACCATTGCGTGTGGAAAGGTGAGGAGGTGAATGTTGTAGAACGCCCCAGGCAGCAATATTACAGCTAACATTTGACTGACAAGCAAAGTGGTTGATGGGGTTGTAGAATGATCAACGGGAGTACAATCACACATGTGACTGGCCCTAATTGTATTCAACAACCATAAGGTACGGGTTACCTATTCTGCCCTGGGTCACCCCCAGAGCATATAGAAGAATGTTGGTTTAGTGGGTGGGGCCAATGCTCGCTAAATGTTCCCATAATGACTGGAAAATGTTTGCCCTCAAGAATTAATTAACTATAGTTTAACTTACCGCATTTTGGGATGTCAATTATCGTTGCCTCTTCCTGATGAAAGCTACCTGGTCTCTGGTTACGATGTCTGAAGTAGTAAGGAGATGTTCGTCAACATATTTAGAAACATAACATTTAAACAGGGTGGAAACACCTCTTCTTGGACCAAGATACACACTAATCTACTTCTGCAACAACATGCTTGCTGTGAAAGGCGACTATGCTCGTCGTAAGAGGTGAGTAACGGGATCGGGATCGATGTTCATGTCAATCACTGGATTGTCTGGTCTAGTCTCGATTATTTACAGACCGCCGTCATATAGCTGGAATATTGCTGAGTGCGGCAAGCAACAAACAAACTAACTTCTGCAACCATCTACTAACACCAATTTCCGAAACATATCAATCCTGTCCGCAAATTTCACAATTTCAAGAGAAGTTGCCTCAGTGCCGAACATCGATCCACGCTATTTGAATACAATGACATGCATCAACTAAGTTACGAGCCTGACCACCCGATCCCGTTAGATGCCTGTAACAAGTATGGGTTGCTGAAGATCACGTCTGACCCGGATGTTGAAGGGACTAAATGTGAGCGGGTGACTGTATATCATTATTCCACCAATATCAGAGATTGGGACAAGAATGGGCACAATACGTGGGATAACGTAACAATAGTTGAGAAACTAGGTCAACCCACGTAGAATAGGTCAATGTGTTGACTCCCTTTGTAGTGAGTGAGTGAGTATGGTTTTACGCCGCTTTGAGCAATATTCCAGCAATATCACGACGGGGGACACCAGAACTCCCTTTGTAAATGATACATCTCGACACATTGGGTCAACTTACTGGTGATGCCTCCTCCCAGGGTCATCTGCAGAGCACCGGCAGGCTTGCGGACGCGTCCCCTTCTCTGTAATGAAACAAACAATACTTAGACCCTTACTCAAAGGATACAGTCCCACTTACTAGGAATATATATATAAACGATACAAATCATTTATCACGTTCCTATTGTGTCTGTCGGTTTGTGATTTAACGCTGCGCTCAGCAATAGGTCTCTATATAATGGAGTCTGGAACAGACAATCCAGTGATTGACCATGAACATCAATTGGGATACGATGACACGATGTTACTGAACCTGACCACCCGATCCCGTTAGTCGCCTTTCATGGCAAGCATGTTCACGGGACAGTGAGTTGGGGTTTATTGTCGGAGTATATCAGTGTTAT